TTTCCTCACAACTTTCAAATCGATGCTAGCCAAGGTTGAAGGAATCACAGATGTAGCCGCCCTTTTGGCTTTGAAGAAAGCTCTCTGGTACAAGTCAAAATTCAGGAAAGAGTTGAACCTGTCCAAACCAACAACAATTCGCGACGCGCTGCACCGAGCCTCGGATTTCGTCGCCCATGAAGAAGAGATGGCGCTGCTAGCAAAGAGGCATGAGCCAACAAAGCAGACGCCCCGAGCCGAGAAGACACAAGCGACACCTCCGGTCCAGAAGAAGACGCGTGAGAGCGGGACGTATACGCATCACGAAGGGTACAATTTCTCGGGGTACCATAACTACCAGATTGACACGCCCCGAGGCCGAGGTCGCGGCCGAGGCCGAGGCCGTGGGCGAGGAAGAGAATCCTTCACCTGGACAAGGGATCAACCATCGAGCAATGATCAAGAATATTGCGAACACCACAAAATCTTCGGCCACCATACCTCGAGATGCCAAAGCCTCGGCGCTAAGTTAGCAACTAAATTCCTAGCTGGAGAGCTCGGGACGAACGTCACGCTTAAGGACCTCGAGCCAGAGCCAGAGCCCGAACAAACCAACCCAGGAAGAGACCTCGAGCCAAGGAATCAGGAGTCTCAAAAAAGAACCCGGGGGACGCAAGACGAAGACCGAGACAATACACGGCAAAAAGTCCTCACCATAATGGGTTGATTGCCGTACTGTCGTGACACCGTAGCGGCAATCAAAGCCTATCAACGCCGAGCCGAGGCGCCTAGCAACTGGACAAGACCCTTCGATCGACCTAACGACGTGATCACATTCGAGGAGAGCGAGACAAACGGGCTCGACATGCCTCATAACGATCCACTCGTCATCACATTAGCGATTGGAGACCATGAAATTTACCGAATATTAATCGACACCGGCAGTACCATCGACGTGATCTTCCGCGAGACACTCCGACAGATGAACATCGATATGTCACAAGTAACTCCGACCCCGAGGCCTATCCTCGGATTTTCAGGGGAAACTTTGATGACGCTTGGAACCATCCAATTACCCGTCCGAGCCGGCGGGGTGACAAAGATAGTCAACTTCTCGGTCACTGATCAACCAACCATCTACAACGTCATAATGGGAACGCCGTAGCTAAATCTAATGCGAGCCGTCGCTTCAACATATCATCTATGTGTCAAATTTTCGACTCCTAGTGGCGTAAAAAACATCTAGGGCAGTCAGAAAAATTCACGGATGTGTTTTATGGCAGCGCACAAACTCCGAAACCCTGTCACCGAAGCGAAGGCCGAGACTGACCACAAGAAGTCAAAACTTGGCCGGAACGAAGAGAAGGTTATATCTAAACAGTTATAGCAATTACAGATTGAGGAGGCACGCGAGGAGAAGAAGCCTACCTCGGATCCAGTAATCTCCATCAGTCTTGACGACAAACGACCTGAGCGATGCGTGGAGATCGGCAGCGACATAACCAAGGAAATTAGGACCGAGCTCATCTCATTTCTCAAGGAGAACATCAATACATTCGCCTGGTCAGCTGAAGATCTACCTGGAGTAAGCATCGATGTAATCTGCCACGAGCTGAATTTTGACCCATCTTTCAAGCCCATCAAGCAGAAGCGAAGAAAATTGGGTCGGGATCGCGCAGATGCCGTGAATGCCGAAGTAGAAAAGCTCCTGAAGATCGGCTCGATCTCCGAAGCAAGATCTCCAGACTGGTTAGCGAATCCTGTCGTGGTAAAAAAGAAGAACGGCAAGTGGAGAGTCTGCGTCGACTTCACCGACCTGAACAAAGCTTGTCCTAAAGACAGTTTTCCGCTCCCACATATCGATCGCTTAGTGGAAGCAACTGCGGGAAATAAGTTGCTATCGTTCATGGATGCTTTCGCGGGATACAATCAGATTCTCATGCACCCCGACGATCGCGAGAAGACAGCATTTATCACAGACCGAGGTATCTACTGTTACAATGTCATGCCCTTCGGACTCAAGAACACTAGCGCAACGTACCAACGGCTCGTCAACAGGATGTTCTCCGAGCAGCTCGGGAAAACGATGGAAGTTTATATCGACGACATGCTAGTCAAATCCCTCGAAGAAAACGACCACATAGCTCATCTACGCGACTGTTTTCGCCAGCTTAATAAACACAACATGAAGCTCAACCTGGCATAATGTCGTTTTACGGTAAAATCAGGGGAATTCCTTGGATATCTCGTAACTCACCGAGGCATTGAGGCGAATCCAAAGCAAATCGATGCTTTACTAAACATGCCTTCACCGCAGAACAAGCGAGAAGTTCAACGCCTCACCGGGAGAGTTACAGTCCTAAACCGATTCATCTCCCGTTCAACCAATAAATGCTTGCCTTTCTACGACACTCTCCGTGGAAACAAGAAGTTTGAATGGACCGATCGTTGCGAAGAAGCTTTCCAGGAACTAAAGAAGTATCTGGCTAATCCACCGGTATTAGCAAAACCAGTCCCAGGCGAACCATTGTTCCTGTACATCGCCGTCTCGGACACAGCAGTAAGTGGGGTCATAGTCAGAGAAGACAGAGGGGAACAGAAGCCAATATTAAATGTTTCGCAAACCTTCACCGACGCAGAAACACGCTATCCGCAAACTGAAAAGCTCGCTCTCGCCGTAGTGACGTCAGCTCGGAAGCTACAGCCGTATTTCCAGTCTCACTCAATTGTCGTCATGGCACCCATATCACTCCGAGCCATCTTGCACAGTCCAAGCCAATCAGGACGTCTAGCAAAATGGGCAGTAGAATTCAGTGAGTACGACATCGAATACAGAAACAAGACGTGCGAAAATCTCAAGTCCTGGCCGACTTTATCATCGAGCTGTCATCAGAAAATGCTCGAGAAGATTCGTCCGACGCCGTCTGGACCCTCCATGTTGACGGCTCGTCCTCAAAGCAAGGCTCAGGCGTCGGGATTCGTTTAGCATCTCCGGAGGGAGAAATTCTTGAACAATCTTTTCGGCTAAATTTCGACGCAACTAACAATGTGGCAGAGTACGAAGCGCTGATAGCAGGGCTGAAGCTGGCTCGGGGACTTAAGATCAACAAGCTATGAGCCTTCTGCGATTCCCAGCTCGTGGCAAATCAATTCAACGGAGAATACACGGCTCGAGATGAACGAATGGAAGCATATCTTGCCCTCACGCAAGACTTAGCAAAACAGTTCGGAGAATTCGAGTTAACCAGAATCCCGCGAGGCGAGAACACGTCAGCCGACACGTTGGCAGCCCTAGCATCAACCTCCGATCCAAATCTGAACAGAATCATACCAGTTGAGTTCATCGAAAAGCCGAGTATTGAAGACAAAAGCAAAGATCAAATACTAACGGCACGGGAGACAGAAGACTCGGAAGAAGGTAATGCCGAACCACTAGATCAACAAGCTACAGACTCAACCGAGCCCGAATACAGAAGTGACGCCAAATGGATCGGAGCCATCCGAAGTTACATAGCCGATGGAGAAGTGCCTACCAGGACCCCTACTAATCTGTGTTGAAGGAAATGAAGCTCGAAGAGTCATGGAAGAAGTACACGGCAGATCTTGTGGAAATCACTCTGGCGGGAGAGCCCTAGCTATAAAGATCAAACGACACGGGTATTTTTGGCCAACAATGGCAATGGATTGTGAAAAGTTCTCTCGACGATGCGACAAATATCAGAGACACGCATCGACAATTTACCAGCCCGCCGAGGTCCTCTCTTCCATCACCTCGCCTTACCCTTTCATGCGCTGGTCCATGGACATTATCGGACCTCTACACAACTCCAAGCAGAAGAAGCTCGTCCTAGTATTAACAGACTACTTCTCGAAATGGATCGAGGCAGACTCCTACTCCAGCATCAAAGACGCACAGGTCGAGAACTTCGTTTGGAAGAACATCATATGTCGCCACGGGATACCTTACGAGATCGTTACAGACAACGGATCGCAGTTTATTTCGGCTCGGTTCGAAGGATTCTGCGAGAAATGGGGAATTTGCCTCAGCAAGTCTACGCCTCGGTATCCTCAGGGAAACGGACAGGCGGAAGCAGCGAACATGACAATCCTCGACGGAATAAAGAAGCGTCTCGACGCAAAGAAAGGCCGATGGGCCGATGAATTGGAAGGAGTATATTATGGTCGCACAGAACAACGCCGCGGCGGGCCACGGGAGAAACACCTTTCGCCCTCGTCTACGGTACGGAGTGTGTGATTCCCACCGAAGCCGAGATCCCGGGAATAAGAAGACATTTGCTCCCCGAGCAGGAAAATTCCAACACTCAGATGATACTGGACGAACTGGACTTAGTTGACGAAAGAAGAGATTCGACTTTGGTCCGTATGCAGAATTATCAGAATGTTACAGCTCGGTACTATAATTCTCACGTTAAGCATCGCCACTTCCACGAAGGAGATCTCGTACTGCGCAAAGTTTTCCAGAATACTGTCGAACAGAACGCAGGTAAGCTCGGCGCAAATTGGGAAGGACCTTACACGATCACAAAGGTGATCCGTCCTGGCGTCTACGAACTCATCAACATGAACGGCAAAGCGGTACCTAAATCCTGGAACGCAATGCATCTAAGGAAATATTATCGCTAAGAACCTAAGGTACGTAATCCGTTGAAAGTCCCGAAAATTAACTTCTACTTAACCGAAAGTCATTTTTACCGAGACCCAATTATATCGACATTGGTGCGTACTCCGTTTTCTTGATTCGGAAGTTAAAACTGTTCGGAAAGATTTACTTCACGATGAATAAGCCAGATTTACGAAAACCAGTTATACTCAACACTGGTATCGAATTTGGTTCAGAAACATCTCAAGGTAAACAAGACAAGTCAAGCACTTGAAAAGAACATTCATATTAAATGGATAAAGCCATCTAGGCACAAGTTTTCACCAAAAGAAACTTAAAAAAAAAAAAAAAAAGAGGCAAAAGAGAATTTCCATTTCCAGGATAGAAAGACATCTCGGGATCAGATCGAATCTTGGTTAACTGGCGAGACTCGAGCTGCCTCGGTATCTCGGTTCGAACCCATCTGGTCAGTAACACCTATTGCGGCCGCGGTGCCCTCGATCGATCGGTTCTCGAAGCTGTCATCGACAGAGTCCGGGTAAACCGGAGGAAATTTCAAGTCCTCTCGCAGCTCGGTCCCGAGACGGACGTACTCTTCCTCGGCATCCCCATACTCAGCCGTCCATTGAAGGACCTCTACCTTCTCATCCTCTACCTTTTTCCCTTCCTCCAGCTCAGCTATCAGCTCGGCGTTGGCCCACGCTTGCACAAAGTACATATAGCGCGCGGATACCTTCCCATACTGGTCCATCTTCTCCTCGATAGCCCCGACCTTCTCGGCAAATTCCCTCTTGGGAGCCCTCCGTTCCCTGATGATCTCCTTCTCCCGGAGAACCTTCTCTTCGGTAAATAACCGATGTAGGCGAGAAATCTCGGCCTCGAGCTTTCTCTGAGTTCGTAGGTTGTCCTCCGACGCCTTCAACCGCTCCACCTTCTCGGCCTTGGCCAACGCCTTGGCTTCCTGTCTAGCCACAATCGCCTCGGAAATCCTAGCCTCAACCTCGGCTCGGGATATCTCCGACTTCTCACGAGCCAGCTCGGATTTCCAAGCCCCAGAATCATAGGCTCGAACCATGGAATTCATCGAGTGAAAGGCCTGAAATGAAACGGGAATCATCAGCAAAAGAATATGGAAACGATAGTAAAACACGTCAGGAGCGAATCGATACCTTCAGAAATCCAGCAGCGGTTTCACGGTAGCTTTGGGCCTCCAACAAGGCCTCGGGAGCGGAAAGTAGTGGACCCGAACAAGAAGCGACAAGATTAGCGGAAGCTATCTTATCCTTGTAGATTGGAGCTTCACTACGGCTCCTCTTCTCCTTCATGCGTCCTCCCGAGCTATCACCTCGGGACCTCTTCCCTTTCGTCTTAGCCTTTGCCTCGGCACCCAGAGCTACGACCGCTAAAGCCCCCACTGCCTCGGGAACTTCTGTATTCGGCCAAACGTTATTAGAGGCCTCAGGTCTAGTCGAAGCTGCAATATCCCGAGCCTCCTCAATCGCCTCGGTACCATTGGCAACCTCTGGATCGTTGTTAATCTCAGGTGGAGTTGGCGGTCTAAAAGTCGCCTCTAAAACCCTTTTCTCCTCGGCCGCTCTTCTTTCGGCAGCTTTCTTTGCCCTCAAAGACTGCGCGGCTCCTTGCATTTCGATGAGATGATCTAGGCGATTGTCAGATGATTCCGAAGAAGACTGGCAAGGAGTTCCGTGCAGCAAACGCAGGGCTCTCTCAATTCTACCTCGGGAGAAGTGTTTCGTCCAATCGCACTTCCGAGCTATCAGTTCGTCGTGGAGATCTAGAAAGCCTTCGGGAACGTCTTCGAGAAATGACGGGTTCCGATCTGCATGAACAAGAAAACGGTCAGCGAAAAGATTAAAGCAAAATAAAACAGCATATACGGCCTCGGGTGTAATACCAATTTTTCTCCACTTTTCAACAACTTTCCCTAAGTAGTCCTCGTGGACACTATATTCATCCAAAGCTACGTAGAAGAAGTGCTCGGTATACTTCCAATCCTTGCTCGGGAAACCACCGATAACCCTCCTATTTGGCCTCGGAGATATGTAAAACCTCTCAACAGGGCGTGGTATGCACCGGACCTCTAGGAGATTCCTTAAGTGGCTAAGGTCAACAATATTGACCGTCTCAATACTCCGGACAAGAATCCCTATAAGATGGCGCAGGCCTCGGGTTGTGATCTGAGATAAGGCTATCTTGTACGACCATAGAAACGCCAAAATTGGCCACGGGATTGGGAGCCAAAGGTAGCAGTGGTAAAAGAACCCCTCGTAAAGGGTGAAAAACCCCTCGGGTGGATCATCTCCTCGCTCATCCCGAGTTGGAAGCCTCAGTTCAATCCCCTCGCTAAAGCCGAACCGAGCTTTAAGATCCCGAAGGGAATCTTCCGTACATAGGGTGGAACCCGGAGGATCGGGTTTCTTCGCCTTCTTGGCTCGTCTTTTCTTCCGCTGACCCTTGGCTGTTTGAACTTTCGCCTGGAGCAACCTTGCTGCCTCGTCAGAGTCATAATAGACCTCCTCGGCCTTTATAGAAGGCAAAGGTGGCTCGGGCGCACCTTGCCAGCGAGAGCCCCCGGCTTCGTCAACCGCTGGCGGACGACTTTTCCTAACAAGTGCCTCCTCGGGTTCCTCCGGTAAGTCAAGCTCCCAAGCAATATCTGCCGCGGCATCCTCCCGAGCCACGAAACGGCTCGGATCGTCTTGATTGTGAGAAGCTTCAGCGTCGCTATCCCGACGCGTGATGTCCGCCTCGGGATCACTCGAAGAACTCCAAACCATCTTCCTCTTATAGACAGGAAGATTGTCGCCTTTGGACAAATCACTGGAATTAGAGAGAGACATTTTCTGGCTCGGGCAACTGAAGTAGTTGATCGGAAAAGCAAAACTTGGCAGATCAGAGAAATCAACCTAGATCTAATAACGGCGGTGCTACAACGGAAATAAAACGGAAAAAGTAGAAAATAGAAGAAATCAAGATCAGAGAAAAGAGAACGAACCTCAAAAAATTTTCCTTTGCAATTGCGAAATGAGAGAACGAGTCAGAGACTTAACATTTATAGGAATTTAGGGCGCGTCGGATACGTACGAGCCAAATAAAACACACCGTGTCCGCATCTAAGGCGCGTCGGACACGCGCGAATTGAATAGGATGCATCACATCCGCACGAATCTCGGGAATCAGCGGAGGACCTTTTCATTTTTCGAGAAGGAATCCCAACCGTCACACGCCAAGAAAAGATGAAACGACAAAGGAATTCGAATCGCCAAAAATTCTACATCATAAAAGGGACCGAACTGTCCGAAGTAAACGGCTCGGCCCAATTGTCATAAAGCTCGTCACACTTTGGTTCTCCAAACTAACAAGCTGGGGGGCTAACTGTTGGGGTCGGATTCCATCCTTTGGCGCCGAGCCAGACTTAGAGCGCCTCGGGAAACTTTTCAGAGATCACCTTGGGGCGTCGCATCATCCACTTCAGGTTATCCATCTAATCAGTTCGGGGTGTCCCATCACTTCGGGGTACCCGAACAAGTCATCTTGGGATACCCGAGCCCATCACCTCGGGGTACCCGAACAAGTCATCTTGGTGTACCCGAGCTCATCACCTCGGGGTACCCGAACAAGTCATCTTGGGGTACCCGAGTACATCACCTCGGGGTACCCGAACCAGCCCTTCCTGGGTACCCGAGCCGATTGCACAAGTTCTCCGAGGCGAAGTCTTCATCATCACCCGAGGCAAGTACTTAGTAAATATTTGCCTTCAGAAGTATCATTTCTAAGCAGGACATCATTTCCGATATACCCGGAAATGATAAGAGAGAAGCTAAAAGGATCAACTCAAATCAGGAAATATTCCAAAGACTCCGAAGAATAAGAAAATTATCCTAATCCGCGATATTCTAGCCGCTTTCAAGATAAATGGAAATCTTCCGAGAATATCGCTGGAGAGGCGGTTTATCATCGCTATATAAAGAGGCTCAAGGCTCTCGTAGAAGGGAGGCAATATCGCTTTAGCATTTAGACTACACAAAGCTCTTAAGCACAAACACTTTTTCTTTTTACGATCAAACTCTTGTACGATCAAAGTCATCTTTTTTCCAATAATATCAAGAACACCATCTTTGGTTTCAGTCGATTTTGTTTTTCTTTGAGAATTCTCGCAAATCGTATCCCTAAATTAAAACCCTAGACAAATCTCGATTGTGTTAAGTTTCGACTTCCACAAATCCTACCCCACCTTCCAATTTACTACTACAAAGTTTATCCCAAGCTATCCAATGCATTCCCCTCGATTCACCGTTTGAGCTCCACCAAAATTTTGTGACCGCACTCGTAAGTTTAGAAGTTATTGATTTTGGTAGTCTGAAGCATGACATAACATATGTTGGTAATGCCGCAGCTACCGATTTAATCATAACTTCATTTCCTCCTTTCGATAAAAATTTAGCCGACCAACCATTTATCCTAACCTGAAGTCTATCTCGAACAAAGGAGAAAATCTTTGTCTTAGATCCACCAAGGCTTTCCGGTAGACCAAGATAAGATCCCATGCCACCAAGATTGTGGATACCCAGAGCCGCTTTTATTTCTTCCTTAATAGACTCATCAACTTTGTAGCCAAACTGAAGAGATGATTTTGAAAAATTAATTTGTTGTCCTGAAACCGCTTCATATTCTTTTAGAATTCCCAAAATTGTCCCGCATTGTTCTTTACTGGCTTTGCAAAAGAACAAACTATCATCCGCAAATAAGAGATGAGATACCGACGGGCTAGCTGTAGATACCTTGATACCTGTAATCAATTTTTCCCGTTCCGCTTTCTTAATATTCGCAATGAGTACCTCCGTACAGAGAATGAATAAGTAAGGAGATAAAGGATCTCCTTGTCTAAGTCCCCTCTCTGGAATTATTAGCCCTTTTGGTTGTCCATTAAGTAAGACCCTATATTGGACTGTTGTGATACACCACATCATCCACGAAATCCATTTTTCGCAAAAACCCATCTTCCTTAATAATTCTTCTATGAAACTCCATTCAACCCGATCGTAAGCTTTACTCATATCCGTCTTAATAGCCATAACCGTATTAATGTTTTGTGTTTATCATGATTCATGATATATATCTTGTTATATTAATAGATACACAAAATATTAGGTACTCCATTTTGTATCTCTTAATTACATATTTTAATTAATTGAGTAAAATAAAAAGCATAAATTAATTCGAATAAATAAACATAAGTAAAACTAATGGCAAAATCTGTAAATATCCTAATAAATGTTGTGTGTTTAATTAAATGGATTGAGAAGCTCTGTAAAAACGACATATCAGCACACACATGAGGATAAGTTTATTTATTAAAAATACTTCTCAATTAATATATAAGGGATTTTTTTTCAGATGTAATTATTTGCAGAAATTACAAAATTCATCTAAACTCTATATCAATTAATAATTATTAATTTATCGATAAATTAATACTTCTATAAATTAATAAAATTTCACGGTTCCGACACTATAGTTAAATCCTTAAAACAGATGAATCATTTCAGCTCAAAACTATTAGAATCTTCATAATATATTTCAAATTTTCATTAGTAATCTTGGAAAAACAGTTTCCTATGTATAAAATAATAAATATTTTCTCACAAATGTTCAAAAGTTATCAATACATTTACAAAACAAAGGTAACAAAATCAATACATTTACTATAGTTAATTCCTTAAAATAGATGAATCATTTCAACTTAAAACTATTAGATTCTTTAAAATTTATTTCAATTTTTCATTAGTAATCTTGGAAAAACAATTTATTATATATAAAATAACAAATATTTTCTCACAAATATTCAAAAGTTATCAATACATTTTTTTTTTTTTAAGTTATCAATACATTTACTAATCAAAGGTAACACAATCAAAATATTTACTGTTAATTATAAGAAAATTAATTGAAAGATTCTTACATTTTCAATGTATGACATAAAAAGCTTTTTTTTTTTTTAACATGTGTTGTGTAGTTAAGGGTATTGGGAGGTTGTCAAATAAAATAAATGTTAAGCAATATTGGGAGATATTTACATATTTGTATTTCTCTTCCTTACATATGTGTTAGTAGAATCTTGTGTATTTATTAGTTTCTGCTTTCACGGGAAGTCCATATTCCTAATTGGCTAATCATATGTGTATATATATATGAGCCATTGACTCTAAACAATAACCAGAAAAGAAAATCTTATACAAAGTTATCAAAAAGATTATCATAGAAATGGCTATCACCAAAAAAATGCTTGTCGTACTACTTCTCACTATTCTCTTTGTCACATCGTCGGTTCAATGTTCCGATAGCACTCTTGGTACAATTTTATTATACTCTCAATTTTCTTTTTGTTATGAACATATTTTTATCATTAATTTAGATGATTAAAATGATTTGTTTAAATAGGTATTGGAATCAAGCAAGATTGGAAAAAATGCTTCGGTCCAGAACCGTGTATGAATGGAGGAGGGACCCAAGGATGCATGAAGTGGTGTAGAAAAAACATAAGTTTGTTATTGTATGGTGAATGTACTACTAATCCTGCTCAATGTTGTTGTGTGACAAAATAATCTAAACAAAGATTGAAATTTTCTATAAAATAATAATATCACTAGTTTCATCTCCAAAAAATTTGTGAGAAACCAGAATTTATTAGTTTTTTGTTTCTCTTTATTTGACTTATCACTGTTGAAATTTTAAACGAATATTCTTAATCGTTTCTGTTTTACATAATATCAATTATAGAAAAGAACATCGCTAGTGTACATATATCGAAGTCATATAATTCACAAATCGTACCAAATCAAAGTTTTGACAAAAAAAGAAAAAAGAAAAAGAAACTCGAGCAAATCTTCCATGCAAAACAAGTATAGAATATAATCTGTTTTAAATAAAAACTAAATGCATGTATTAATTTTGTAACGCCCCGACCGCCACCTCTCTTAATGGGCTCTACGTCCTCTCTCGGGCCCATGAGCCCACCCCTGTCCGACGGCCGGTCCGCTACGTCCGGGAGGCTTTAAAGACTTGTTTACCGACCCTACAAATCACCACATGATCTCTCGTGATGGCTGACCGAAAAGATAAGTGCACTTTGGTGACTTCTCGGAAGGTCACCTATCCTGAAACTACTGCAGCCCAAGCACGCTTAACTGTAGAATTCTCTCGTGATGGCTGACCGAAAAGATAAGTGCACTTTGGTGACATAGGTGGTCAAATTAATTTTTTTAAACCTCTCCGCATGCACCACCAAACTGTATCATTAAGGTAAGTTTAACAAAGTCATTTAGCTACTTTGGAGTATTGTATTTATTAAATAATAATTACAAAAAGTATTAAACAGTTTCATTGTTTTTAATTTGTTTAAGAATGAAACTGCTACATTTAATACAAAATATTCATATCCTGAAAACTGTTCCGCTTCTACTATGTAGATGCATGGGACACATGAATGCTAATGGTAGTATTAAATGAAACTTTACAATCATCTATTAGCAAAAATGTCACACAAATCCAACCTTTGTTATCGTTGAAAAGTCTAATATGGCGAGAACTCTACCTTTGTTAGACCAACCGTTCATATTGATCTTCCCTAAATTTATAAGCGTTTATTTCGGTAAAACGTTGAGAAAATGCAAGCCATCTTTGTTTCCTTAATTTTAGACTTGTATCAAAATACCAATCCTGGATATCTTTGTTAAGACTAAACATAAACCATCAAACTTTTGTGTTGGATACCAGGTATATACGGGCTGGTAATCCTGGATACATGGTACTTACTTCATCCACTTAAAACTGTGAGTTGATAGAGCTTTGAAAAAGATCAAAGGGTATGAAAAATCTGTAATTAGACTGGAAGAAATCCTTTGAATTCTCAAGATCTGGAAGAAATACGTACCATCAATATCCACTTCTTGAATACAGCCGTAACTGTCATTCCATTATCTTCAACATCAATGAGTTCCTGAAAATTGGATCTGTCCACGTCATTATTGCACAATAATCCTCTCAGATTTCTAGATACTTTATTGGACTTAACTAGTTGGGAGTTCGATTCAGTGTACCAAAGGAGTTCGATCTTTACCAGTACGGAGTTCGCTCTTATTCAGCATATAGCTCGCATAAAAGAAGGCCGAAGCAAGAATCTTCGAGTTTTACAAAATTTGTTTAGAACTCTTTCTAGGCGAGTTAATTTCTTTGGCAGAGATGGCCAATGTAATTTTATACATAGAAAATAATAATTTCTAGAAGTCCTAATAAAAGAACATTCTCCATTTGATTAGCTGAGCCAATCTTTGGAATTTTGTGAATACATAATCTCAGATTCGAAAACGTAGACAACAAACCCTGAAATTGAAACACTTCATCCCGGTAAGGGAGACAATTTATAAATTATTTATAGTAGAGGAGGGAAAAATAAAGATAATGATACACTAAATACTCGCTTAGAAACATACCCCGTTATCTCGTTCTTATTTCTGGCTTACCTTGAGATGCACTCACCCTTGTGGATGTTCTAGTACTTTCAATTTTTCTTCTGCTTTTGGTCACCATGAAGAACTTGTTTGATTATCCAGTGACTTGATAATTAATCAGACAAAAGGTTTAAAATGGAGAGAAGCCTCTACATGAGCAAGCCAACATGCGTTCAATATATATGGTCATACGACAATTTTGACTTTCCGTAAATTAAAGAGAATGAGAAGAAGAAGGGCGATGTCTTACCTATGGTTTGTCGGATACTCTATTTACAAAGGCTGTGTTGATTTTGGATGAGTAAACCGCATTGAAAACTGAAGAGATCGTGGCCTTTGGGTTTAACATGAGATGAGAGGAGCTTCAAAGAACATGTACTGAACTTGAATCCAAAAGTAACCCGATATGGGTTGAAAACGGAAGCCATAGGAGATGAGAGAAGCTTGAAATCGAAGAGTTTGTGGCATTGTGGGAGATTTATGGATTTAGGGAAAGTTTGTGGCCGAACGTTTTCGGGAGGAGGCGAAGAGACGATTTCTTTCTCTATGTTTAGATGACGTGGGTAAGGTGTAGGTGATGTGGCATCCTCTTACATAGTTTTCATTTTGCTGATGTGGATGGCTTGAGAGGCCTCTATTAGTTTCTTTTATTAGTAATAGATAGATTATCTAATCGAATTATGTGAAAATAACATATTTATGTAAAAACCTAATATAATTTTGCTATTAATGTAATATTACTATATGAGTTACACTTAAGATATACCTAACAAATGACAACAAAAAAGATATATTGAAACTAATAGAAATAACTTATAGTAAAAGAGAATATCAAAATACACGACATCATATATTTAATTTGCCAAAAAAAGGAGTGAATAGTAAAATTTATATTTTAACCTAGATAAATAGATAATTTATAGTAATATATATATATATATATATATATATTTTGTAGGTAGAGGAAGACAATTTATTAAACTAAAACAAAAGAATTACATATGAATGTGTTGTGGGAACGCAGTCCCATTAGCATCCTCCAAAAGAATCAGATTTATTACATCTGGACAGCAATCTAATAATAAAACATCTAAAACTAACGAAAACACATAGGTTGCTAATCCTTTTTTTTATATTTATCACAACTAAAATATTTTGTTCATAATTCATTAGATAATAAAAAAATATATAGTGAGTACATTAAAAATTTGATATCTATAAAATTAGGTTTATTTTATATCAAAAATGTGATGGTTTCATCTATATTTTTTAGACATATTCTAGTGATATCTATAAAATTACGATCCAGAATCTACGAAGACGCGGGTGGTGAAAACCAAGGCAAGAAGTAACAAAGCCACAAGCTTCGCGATTGACAGTGTCGAGATAAAGAAAAACAACAGGAAGAAGGAGACATGATATTTTTTGTTTGAAACAAGGTTGATGGGTAATCTGAATTAGGGTTGGTTCGGGTGGGCGAGCCGGTTAAATAGTGGTGGTTGGGTTAATTAAAAATAATAAAGGGAAGTCTATAACGTGGAGTTCCAGAACAAAAAAAGTTGCTCTGTTGATGGAAAGTGCATGCCTCTGAAAGAGAAGGAGAATAAACTGTTCCAATTTATAGTCAGAGACGAGAGTTTATACAAGAACACAATCGAAGATGATCTTACAAGCAATAAACTAATGGAGGGAATGGGCAGAAGAAACGTTCACCAATCTGCTTTGTCATAGTTAGAGGAGAAAGGATAGAGATGCTTCGTTTTACTGCACCAGTAGAGTCATAAGATTGGTTTCCTTCTCTCTTTTCAAGTTTCTTATTTCTCTATAAGACTTCCCTCACTGAGGCTCATCTGCTAAATTCAAGTTATTACAAATGCATGTTGGTCCGCTGTTCAAATGACTAAATGTTTCAGAAATGTGAATCTGTCATGTTACTCAATTTTTTACAGGATTCCATTAACATATAGACAATCTAATGATAATTTGCAGTTAAATTTCTTTGCATAATTCAGGTGTTATTTGTCATCGTAAAGACAAATGCTTTCAAGATTCCTAAATATGAGGCCTATGTGTATTCAAAGAGGTCAGTGTGATAGTCTGAGCTCTGCTGCAACACAAACTGCCCAAAAGTTCAAGATGCTCAACGTTGCACCTATGGTCCATAAGTTTAGACCGAAGAGGAATGTTGTTGAGATGGGTGTCTAGGGCAAGGATATTGGTTTGGGTGATGATAAAAGTAGGCAAAACCCGCGAAGGAACTTAAGACACTACCTTTTTTGTTTTATGTCAACGGTTCTGAGTGGAGATTATGTCTCGTTTACATCATTAAACCATTATGATAATAAAGAGACGAGTCTTGTTACTAATAATCGTAGGAAAAAATATGTCGAAGGATATAAACTCTAATAATGAGCTTCCTTCTCTTTCAATCATGCATAGCTATATCTGTCTTGTTGGGCAATCTATGGCCACGAAGAAAGGTGCTGAATAGATGCAGAGCTTGTGAGGGCTGCGTGTTCGCCACCGCATGAGCCGCTCCTCTCACTGTTGCAAAAGTGAGTATGTTTCCATACTCGATGGCCCAACCTCCAACCTAGTCAAAATCCCAAACATCCACAATTTAGTTCGCAATCAGTTTGAGAATTGTGCTGATTGTTTAATGGTGTGTAGGCAAATTACCTGTCTTTTGTGGAACCACACTCCATATGGAACTGTCGTCTTGAAATTGAGATCGTTGGCGAGTTCTCTTACGACAGTTCGTGTTCCCAGAAATGGAACTACAGAATCTTGATCTCCACTGCAATTGTCAACAAGCTGAGTGTTAGGTACAAATACAGGAGCAGTAGGAGGTTTTTAATAGAAGTATTACCTGAAGATCCAAACAGGAATTTTGTTCTGTATAACTCTCTTCAGAGTCGGAAGCATGTTGATGTTTGCATCGATGCCAGAGTAGTTTAACAGGCTGTGACACGAAGTGAAACCAATCAGAGTATAGAGTTCAACTCTGGTTATAAAGATTCTTCATTTTCAGAAACTAAAAGAGAGGAAAAGAACTTACTTGCTGCACATTGACCATGAATATGGCAGATGAGTGCGGTTCGCATGAAGCGCCATCTGTACCTCTGGGAGATTAAAATATAACTGTCTTTCGTAGGTCATACAGACATCAACTCCCATGCTCATCTTTGTGGCCTGAAATCATTTTCAAACGTTTACAGATGATTCAAACAAAAGTTTTGTTGGTGGAACATAAGATGGAAAATGGCTGACCATTTGCTTAAGCCTAAGTTCTTTCAGGACAATCGAGGGGTAGCAAATGTCCAGGAGAAAATCATAGTTGTTGACATACTCAGTAATGCTGTTTCCGGCTTCACGGATAGCGTCGTTGCATGCAACACTTAGGTTATGCGGGTATATATATGTGTAATCCAAGAAGTCACACTGACTCATGATTGTGTGTCCCACTTCATCAGAGATCATCCCGTGCGACCAGAAGAACTCGAATGCAGCTCGGACGTCTCTGTCAAGCTTCAGAAATGGATTCCCAATCTGACAAGAAAGAGAAAAAACACACACAAAGGAATCAGAAGAGAACCAATAGAGTTGATTCTTACTGCAATGCCTTTGATGTTGAATTTGAACCCACTTGAGCGTGAATTGTAGCTGAGTATCGCATCAGCCAATTGCGGTATGTAATGTCCTGCAAGAATACATACATGTGAGAATAATAGTTCTGTTTTCAATGTCCAAAATCCAATCAATAGACTTCATCCATATGAAAGACACACCTGCATAGTTTTCACCAGTGAGAAAGAAGTCGCGAGACTTGAACTCTGGGAACTTGTCGAACCATCCCAACAAGAACACGAGCATATCGCTGGCTGTTCAAACACAAAAGATATCTCAAATATATTCAGAGTGACTGTCTATTACAGATTATCTGAAAATAAGATTTCAAAGTTTACCAGTAGACTTGTCACCGGTGTTGTAATCAGAGCTTCGGTTGGAGTAAGACCATCCAACTCCAACCGGTGACTCCACAAACAGCAGGTTCGATGCTACACATTTCACAAAAAGAGACAATAGCATCAGATTTATGATCACAGTTCTCTGTTTTTTGCATAAAATGATCAAAATCAGACCTTTGTTCCACGACATGGAGTTAACGCGAAGACCACCGCCATCGCCTGTGGGGTAAAATGGACCTAGCTCAGTGAAAGCTCCTCCACAACCTGAAGAACAACCTGGACCTGCAATATAAACCTCAACTACTAAATCTAACTCACACATTTCTTATACCCAAATGCCAAAACAGAACAACTTAACACTAACCTCCATTGAGCCACAAGGTTAGCGGTTTTGTGTCAGGGTGTTCTTCAGCCTCCACGAAGTAGTAGAAAAGGCTACGCCCAGCATTCATGTCGAGATCAACGTACCCGGCGTACTGTCTGAACGCAACCTTTAGTTGACCTGGAAGCCTCACAACCAAATCTGCTTCCGGATACCCTTGTGCAAACACCTGCACAGTCACCAGCACCACTGCCATCACCACAACCACATTGCGTAACGACACAGCCGCCATCTTCTACAGCGTTTTCTAAGTACCTGAAACATAGCCAATTGAAACAATCAGGAAAAAACTATACTCTATGAATGATCTTAAAATGAAACAGGAGACAACACTAGTCTCTTATGTAACAACAGCAATACGAAACAAGAGTTTTAAATTAGAACAAAAAACAAAAAGCTAACATTTTTCTGTTTGCCAAGTCAAAATCCTGAAAACGAAAGGCGATATTAAATATTACAAGAGAATTCGAGTGTTCCTAACTTTTAAAAACTGACAGAGAAACAATGATACTGCTGAAATAGACAAACAGCAAATGATCATATAAATTTTCGTAATCTTTCTTGCACAGTAAAAAAAAAAAAACTTGATTTTTGCAACTGCAAACTTAACAGTAAGATCCATGTTCTAAAACACTTTATATAAACACAAAAAAAAAGTAGAGAAAGAACAATTTACAAGTAAATTACGAATCTTTGAGGATACCCTTTTAACAAAATCCATTCTCGTATACGTTCCAAACAACAACAAGAGCAAAGTTTCTATATTTTCTAATTTATCATTGAGAAACAAAAAAAAAAAAGAGAAAGAAAATACCTTAAAATTTACAAAATTGCTGAAGTATCACTGAAGAGAACCCAAAAACAAGTGAAGAGAACCCAAAAACAACTGAAGAGTAAAGTTCAAGAAGAAAGAAGAGTTCATTTCTACCTCTTGTTTATTTCCATGTTGAGTATCACTTATCTAATGAACATGTCTTTCCTAGAGTAGCAATGCATTGGCACATTGCATTAACTTTACGAATGGAATCTTAAAATTAACTAGGTACTAAACGCTACTGTTTATTTTAATTAATGTTTTTAAAGAAAAATAAACAATTAGATGAAATAATCTTTATAATCAAATGTGTTTATACGTAGGGAATAATGTTATATGACGAAATATAAAGTTATTGTCTCTCACTCGCCAAATCAAACAAAAAATTCACCACTTAGTATGTATTTCTTCTCTTTTAAAAAAATGTATCAATTCCTTAAAGTTCTTGACTAGATAGATTACTTATTAGTAATTTTTATTTTAATTAGTACTGGAATTTACATTTCATAAACAGAAAAAAGAAAAACTTTAGTTTGATTAAGAATCATAGACAAAGCTATTATTCGCAATAGATTCTCCTTGTTAAACTATAAGGCTCCCCATAAGCTTGGCTGCTTGAGGGCTTATTTCAAAGATGATTTGAAGTGAGAAGGATCAACTACTTATTTTATTTTTTCCAGTCTTGGAGTCCTATTATTTTCATTTTTATTCGTTTCTGTACATAATCATTTTTGTTGATTAATAAACTTGAAATTTTAACATAAAACAAATCCGGTTCGAACGATCATGTAATTATATAATACGGACTCACACATTACTATATCCAACTATAAAACCAAGTCTTGTGTAGGAAAATACTTGTATACAACAACTCTTTTAATATAAAAATTAACTTGATGTTAGCATTATATTTCTAACCTATTTTCCTATATAAAATTTGTTTTCATTTTAACTTGATTCTAAAAAAATACATAATTATATAGTTCCAATAATAACCACTAAAATTACACTTTAAGATGGAAAAGTATAATCATCATTTGGATGGAAGAGTATCTTTTAGCCCATGAACTTTGGCCAAAGGCTCTCGTTTGTGTCGAGGATTAGGGTAGAACATATCGATGTGATATGACCTTTAATTTAGATCTCATATGTGAACTCCCCATCTAGCAAACAGTATTAAGAGGTTTCTAAACCAAAATGTAAAAGGGAATCATTTCACAAAACGATTACAAAGGACTAACACCTACCAATCATACATGAATTATGGATCCAAATGACGTTCGAGTAGCCAGGGTTATGGCCATAAGCTAGACTTATAAATTGGCGGTATATTGTGGCATAATACAAATTTTAAAAGGTACACTGTCAAATCAGATAATTGGTTGGCCCAATTAATGAAAGATAATGCAGATTGGGGCCGGAGTTGTAAGATTATAAGAAACTCAAGCATGCAGAATTTGGACACCCCCTAAATTAAAACACATTTTGTGTTCGATAGCCTCAGGATCTCTAGCAATTATTTAATGACTTAGAATAGAAGGGATAAATTGCGACAATATTTGTCAAAGGTGCCGTGCAACAAAAGAAACAATTAATCACCTTTTTAGTGTATATCTTCCCAACAAACATTAGTGTTGTTATTAGGAATAAGGATATTTTCCTTTGTTGAGAATTACAATTAGTTATATTTCCTTATTCCTAATATCCTTATTCCTAATACCCCCCTCAAGTTGGAGCGTGGAGATTATGAACGCCCAACTTGAACAAGAAGCTTTCAAATTCCTTGCGGCCAAGAGCTTTTGTAAAGATATCTGCCATTTGATTCGTGGTGGAGACATGAGCAGGACGAATAACACCTTTGACTATCTCATCGCGAACGAAATGTAGATCAACTTCAATATGTTTCGTGCGTTCATGAAAGACCGGATTAGAACTTATGTGAATCGCAGCCTTGTTGTCACATAGAACTGTCATAGGTTCTTTATGAGGCAGACCAAATTCGATGAGTATAGAACGAAACCATAGAAGTTCTTGAGTAAGTGCAGCCATGGCCCTGTATTCAGCTTCAGCAGATGATCGAGAAACCGTGTCTTGCTTCTTTGTTTTCCATGAGATTGGTGAAGTGCCAAGCTGAACCATCCAACCGGTAAGAGAACGTCGCGTTAAAGGGCAAGACGCATAGTCTGAATCACACCAACCAGTAATATGAAGAGGAGTTGTTGCATCGAGAACGATACCTTGACCAAGAGTTCCTTTCAAATATCGAACCACTTTGAGAGCTGCAGCCCAATGATCTTCGCGAGGAGAATGCATATATTGAGAGAGAATCTGTACCGCATATGTAAGATCCGGTCGAGTGGCAGCGAGATAAATAAGACGACCAACTAAGCGACGGTAACGTTCAGGATCAGGGAGAAACGAACTAGTCGAGAGACTTAAGCGATGATTCTGATCCATTGGAGACCCGGTCGGATGACATCCGAGAAGACCAGCTTCGACAACGATCTCACTTGCATATTTTCGTTGACAAATGTAGAAACCGGAAGGACTTCTAGCAACTTCCAATCCGAGAAAATATTTGAGTGTACCAAGATCTTTCATGTGAAAGCAAGTAGAGAAATAATCCTTGAAGGCATTGAGAGCTGGAGTTGAGTTACACGAAATGATGAGATCGTCAACGTATACCAAAATGCGTAAGACGACACCATCCTTTTTGTAATAGAAAAAAGAATAATCGGATTTGGCCTGCGTGAACCCGTAAGTGCGAAGAGCATCAGACAATTTCGAAAACCAGCATCTCGGAGCTTGCTTGAGACCATAAAGAGACTTCTTTAAGCGACACACACGTTTATCACCAGGCGTAGAAAACCCGGGAGGAAGCTTCATATAAACCTCTTCTTCTAGATCACCATGAAGGAAAGTATTGTGAACATCCATTTGATGAACCTCATGATTTTGTTTAGCAGCAATGTCAAGAAATAAGTGAACAGTAGTCATCTTAGCCACATGAGCGAAGATATCGGTGTAATCAAGCCCTTCTTTTTGATTATTCCCAAGAGCGACAAGCCGAGCTTTGTACCTTTCAAGAGTACCATCAGATTTCTGTTTGATGCGATAAATCCATTTAGAGCCAATTGCTGTTTTCCCGAAAGGTAAATTTTCTAATGTCCAAGTGTCGTTAAGCTCTAAAGCTTGAATCTCAAGACGCATAGCTTCTCTCAATTCATCCAATTCCATAGTTTCTTTGAATATTTTAGGCTCAATTGAGGCCATAAGAGCAACAAGGAATCTGCCGTGATCCTGTGAAAAACGATCACAAGAATCATAGAGAGAGAGAGGATGTGCCGTACTTGACGGAGGATCCGTACCTGGTGGATGCTGCGGCGTGGATGAAGAGAGAGAGAGAGAGGGGAGCGAGAGTTGCATTGCCAACGACATAGTCACTGAGATATGGAGGCGGATTCTGATAAGAACAGTAAATTGTATTTCTGTAAAGTGTTTTTCACGTTGGTCACAAAGAGGAGGCTGTGCCTTTATATACAAGATACGTAAATAACCTAATCGATATTCAAAGCTATATGGGCTTGTAGGCTTCAGAGGCTTCACAGCCCAATACCCCCCGCAAGCTGGAGTATGGAGATTACAAATACCCAGCTTGAGAAGAAATGCTTCAAATTCTCGTCTACCGAGTGCCTTTGTCATGATGTCCGCAAGTTGCGACGTTGTAGAGACATGTTTTGTGGCAATAGTACCTTTGATAATCTCGTCCCGAACAAAATGAACATCGCGGCCGATATGTTTAGTACGAGCATGATAAACCGGGTTTGCAGCGAGACTGATAGCGGAGAGGCTGTCGGAATATAACATGATAGGCGCAGTACACGGAATACCCAAAGCCGGAAGCAGCGCACGTAACCATAAAAGTTCACTAACAGTGTCAGCCATGGCACGATATTCAGCTTCAGCGGATGAGTGAGAGACGACGTCATGCTTCTTTGTTTTCCAAGAAATAGGAGAGCCACCCAATTGAATGAACCAACCAGTGAGAGATCTATGTGTAATTGGACATGAATCAAAATCGGAATCGCACCAACCGGTGAGTACCAAAGATGTGTTGGACCGGAGTAGAATTCCTTGGCCTGGACTTGACTTGAGATATCTAACAACCCGAAGAGCTGCTTCCCAATGATCCGATTTTGGATCATTCATAAACTGTGACAGGATGTGAATAGCATAGGATAACTCGGGGCGTGTGCTACTTAGATAAATTAATCTCCCAACCAAACGACGATAGCGAGATGGTTCGGAGAGAGAATCACCTGGAGCGAGAGCAAGCTTATGATTTTGCGGCAGCGGATGATAAACTGGCTTCACACCTAGCAGACCCGTTTCCATAATAATGTCGAGAGCATACTTTCGTTGACACAAGTAAAGACCAGAAGGACTCCGAGCAACCTCAATTCCCAAAAAATATCTCAAAACGCCTAAGTCCTTCATCTTGAAACAAGAGCTCAAATAATTCTTGAATGAATTAATCACAATAATAGAAGAGCCTGTTATGATCAAATCATCCACGTAGACTAGAACATGAAGACGCACACCATTCCTCTCCATAGTAAACAAAGAATAATCTGAGATATCCTGTGTAAAACCATAATCTTGGAGAGAAGAAGTAAGTTTAGCGAACCAACAACGAGGAGCCTGTTTTAAACCATACAAAGATTTCCGTAAGCGACATACTTTAGTGTTATCATTCGATCGAAAACCCGGAGGAAACTGCATGTAAACTTCTTCGTCAAGATCGCCGTGAAGGAACGCATTGTGGACGTCCATTTGATGAACTTCCCAATCTAGTGAGGCAACTTGTTGAAGAAAAGTACGAATTGTAACCATTTTGGCAACCGGAGCAAACGTTTCGGAATAGTCAACGCCTTCGGTTTGATTGTTTCCAAGAACAACTAAGCGTGCCTTATGACGTTCAAGAGTGCCATCGGATTTATATTTGAGACGAAACACCCATTTGCAGCCCAAGGCTTTCTTACCAGGAGGCAAGTCTTCTACAGTCCAAGTGCCAAGATCCTCAAGAGAGACAATTTCATCAGAAACCGCACATCGCCAATTTTCATCAAGAATAGCTTCTTTATAACTAGTAGGCTCATGACCTGACGTAATAGCAAGAAGA